TAGACCTTGGGCTGCCTGGTCCTCTGAGTTGGAGGACCACGACTGCAGGAGCCGTGACTTTCTATTTGTGGACACTGAAATTGTAAGGGACCAGTTGTATCAGTTGAATGTTCATAAGTCCATGAGGCCGGATGGGATTTATCCCAGAGTACTGAACGTGCTAGTGGATGTTACAGTAGGACCCCTCTCAACCATCTACCAAAGGTCTTGAGAGTCTGGGGAGGTCCCTGCTGACTGGAAGCTAGCCAGCATTATTCCAATTCACAAGAAAGGTGTGAGGGAAGACCCAAGAAACTACAGACCTGTTAGTCTAACCTCACTACCTGGAAAAAAGTATGTAGAAGATCATACTGGGTGCTATTGAAAGGCATTTAAAGGACAACGCAATCATCAGGCACAGTCAACATGGGTTCACGAAGGGAAAGTCTTGTCTAACTAATTTGATACCCTTCTATGATAAGTTCACCCATCTAGTGGATGAAGGGAAGGTGGTGGATGTAGTTTTTTCTGGGTAATAGTAAGGCTTTTGATACTATCCCTCACAGCATCCTTCTGGACAAGTCCAACTCTGTGATGAGCAAGTACATGCTGCACTGGGTGAAGAACTGGCTGAATGGCAGGGCTCAAAGGGTTGTCATGAATGGGGCTACATCTGGCTGGTGACCAGTCACTAGCAGTGTTCCTCAGGGCTCAATTCTAGGGCTGGTTCTGTTCGATATATTTATCAATGATCTGGGTGCAGGAGTTGAATGCATCATTACCAAGTTTGCTGATGATACTAAACTGCGAGGTGCTGTTGATCCTCTGAAGGGACAAGAGGCTTTGCAGAGGGATCTAGATAGACTGCAGCATTGGGCAATCATCAATGGCATGAAATTTAGCAAGAACAAATGCCGGATTCTGCACCTGGGACAGAGTAACGCCGGGCACAAGTATAAACTGGGAGTGGCTGGAGAGCAGCTGTGCAGAAAGGGGTCTGGGGGTGCTGGTCGACAGCAGGCTCAGTATGAGTCAGCAGCGTGCCCTGGCAGCCAAGAGGGCAAACCGCATCCTGGGGTGCATCAAACACAGCATAAACAGCCGGTCAAAAGAGGCTGTTATCCCACTGTATTTAGTGTTGGTGCAGCCTCACCTTAAGTACTGTGTGCAGTTCTGGGCCCCACAATTTAAAAAGGATGTGAAGGTCCTTGAATGCATCCAGAGGAGGGCAACAAAGCTGGTGAAAGGGCTGGAAGGCATGTCGTATTAGGAGTGGCTGAGGACTCTGGGTTTGTCTAGTTTGGAGAAAAGGAGGCTGAGGGGCGACCTCATTGCTCTCCACTTCCCCTCCTCAGGAAGCTGTGGAGAGGGAGGCGCTGATCTCTTCTCCCTGGTATCCAGTGACAGGATGCATGGGAATGTTTCAAAGCTGCATCAGACAGGGAAGGTTAAGACTTGACATTGGGAAACACTTCTATATAGAGAGGGTGGTCAAACACTGGAGCAGGCTTCCTAGAGAGGTGGTCAATGCCCCATGCCTGTCAGCGTTTAAGAGGCATTTGGACAATGCCCTTAATAATATACTTTTACTTTAGGTTAGCCCTGAAGTGGTCAGGCAGTTGGACTAGATGATCATTGTAGAATATTTCAGTTGGAAGGGACCTACTCTATTCTATTCATGAACTTCATGAGCTTTCTGTCTCTTCATTCCTCCAACCTGTCAAGGTCGCTCTGGGTACCACCCCCACCCTCCAGCGGCTCCCCTCCCCAGCATGCCATTATTTCTGATCTTGCTCAGAGTATGTTCTGTCTCTTTCCACCAGATCACTAATGATCACTGAACAGTATTGATCCCAGTATTGTCTTCTGAGGCATGCTTTTCATAACTGGCCATCATGCAGATTTCTAACCATTAATCATTATTCTTTGAGCCTGACAGCTCAGCCAGTTTCTCACTGACCTTTCTTACTGGAAGGCATCCCTTCCATAGCTCCCCCATTTGGCTATAAGGATGCTATGAGAGACTGTATCAAGAGGCTTGCTGAAGTCAATGTAAACGGCATCCACTTCCCTGTACACATCCACAGAGCCTGTCATTCCATCATAGAAGGCAGTCAGGTTCATAGGCATGATTTTCCCTCATTTAATCTGGCTGCCTGTTCCTAGTCACCTTCTTGTCCTTTGGGTGCCTGGAAATGACTTCCAGAACTTGCTTCATAAAGCTACAAGGGACCGAGGTAGGGCTGACTAGCCTGTCATTCCCCAGATCATCCTTCCTGCCTTTTTAGAAAGGTGACATGATACGTACCCCTTCCTGTCACTGGCAACTTCATGCAGTTGCCATAATTATTCAGAGATGACAGAGACCAGTCTTATAAAGACGTACTTCTGCAAACAGGGCTTTATTTATGTACAGGGAGAAGGTGGACATTTCGGTGAAAGAGAAATTGAGAGCTGGGAGGAGCGCATTTAGCAGTTGTTCTTTGCACATTTCCAGTAGTTCCAGTGAGCTCTAGTGAGGCTTAATGCCCAGTTTGGTAGGTACTGGAGAAGTGCAAATTAAAAGAATGTAGTTTCTAGCCTTATGGATTTATGATAGAATAATAGAATCATAGAATCATTAAGGTTGGAAGAGACCTCCAAGATCATCGAGTCCAACCGTCAACCCAACACCACCATGCCCACTAAACCATGTCCCTAAGCGCCTCATCTACACGTCTTTTAAATACTTCCAGGGATGGTGACTCAACCACTTCCCTGGGCAGCCTGTTCCAATGTTTAACCACTCTTCCAGTAAAGAAATTTTTCCTCACATCCAATCTAAACCTCCCCTGGCGCAACTTGAGGCCATTTCCTCTCGTCCTTTCGCCAGTTACTTGGGAGAAGAGACCAACACCCACCTCGCTACAACCTCCTTTCAGGTAGTTGTAGAGAGCGATGAGGTCTCCCCTGAGCCTCCTTTTCTCCAGGCTAAACAACCCCAGCTCCCTCAGCCGCTCCTCATAAGACTTGTTCTCCAGACCCCTCACCAGCCTCGTTGCCCTTCTCTGGACACGCTCCAACACCTCAACATCCTTCTTGTAGTGAGGGGCCCAAAACTGAACACAGTATTCGAGGTGCGGCCTCACCAGTGCCGAGTACAGGGGCACGATCACTTCCCTACTCCTGCTGGCCACACTATTTCTGATACAGGCCAGGATGCCGTTGGCCTTCTTAGCCGCCTGGGCACACTGCTGGCTCATGTTCAGCCGGCTGTCGACCAGCACCCCCAGGTCCTTTTCCGCCAGGCAGCTTTCCAGCCACTCTTCCCCAAGCCTGTAGCGCTGCATGGGGTTGTTGTGGCCGAAGTGCAGGACCCGGCACTTGGCCTTGTTGAATCTCATA